ATTTAATTATAGTACGGAACAGAACCGAATCGAATCGAACCGAACCCGAACGGTTCCAAAATTATATTTGGAACCAACGGTTCCATTTACTAAATATCCGAAAATTTCTGGAACCGAATCGAACCGCGCCCACCCCTAGTTTCAATAAAGAAACTCGAGACACTTGATGCACAAGTAGCATAACGGGTATGATTATCACAATTTAAAATTTAAAATGTAGATACAACTTCATATGTATACAATTTATAGAAACCTATACATTATTGTACCCTTAAGTAGCATAAATGCTAGAAACTTACATATCCATTGAACTGTCGAGCAACACTTAAAGCGTCCTCTGCGGTACACATTGTAATGAAACCAAACCTTGTACTTTCCTCTGTAAACTTGTCATAGGTAACCTGCAAATTTCACTACTTAGCTAACAATCCATCATCACAAAAGGAAAATAAACAATTTTTTTGTCACTATAGGTTAACAGATGAGCTGGTAAAATAAGTAGCCTCGCAGTGAAAGATAAGAACATTTATATGCAGTGCATACATAACACACTCGATACACAACCACAGGGCCTTCAATAACCATACATATATCCCATTAATATACAAAGAAATTGAAAATTCTACACAGATGCGAAGTAAAAAAATAAATTGCTTGCATGAACAAAATCCCAATTCCGGAAATCTTATCCCCAAAATAACATTATTCTGAATTTTTTCACAAACAAAGACAGAAGCATTAATTCACAATTGTCTTCCATATATCGACCACCCAATCAAACAAAGGAGATTAAAGATAATTGTAGAAGAAGATTGATACTAGCGTAATTGCTATTGGACTACATATCATTGTAATCAAAGAAGAAGCCTGTTTTGCAGCTTCAAAAACTTACTTTGACGAAACCATTCTAAAGTCCCTTTCATTTAAAATGAGAAACTTTCAGTTCGTAAAAATGCAAAAATAAACTAAAACAAATAGACCAAGCCAAGGAGCATAAAAATATAGAGATAGATGCTTGGTATAATTACCATGTGTCTAACCAAATTATATATTAATGTAAGGAACAAGAAAATGTATAAAAGAACCTATTCCTTCAAAAATTCAATCGGTGCAAGACTGTATATAACTCATACTGTCTCTCGGTGTCCTTTACCTTCTAAGAACACCCCATATGCAGATCTTGAAGTGTTGCGTCCAGTTCAATAACACTTGATAAGAAAATACACAAGGTAACAGCTTATTTACCTCCAGATTTCTTGCATCATCATCTGCATCCTTGATATCTCGATACTTCACTTTGAACTTAATTTTGTGCCTCTTGATGATCAAAACTCTGAACCAGCACCCTCTGATGCCACTATCTTGAGAAAAACACTTCAACTTGAGATCCTATGGTCAAATTTTGCATACATTGGCAACATTTCATTTTGCCACGATAAGGATAAAGAAGAGCATCCTCCTTTAAGTCTGCTCTTTCCAATGCCACCTTCGGAGCTGAAAAGACCACCACTTCGATCTTGTAGGCTAGCATCAGTAGATTCTCTTTTGTCAGCAAAATGCAAGTTTATTTCACTCTTTTTGGAACAGCAAAGCCTCTCATTAGGTCTACTTCCAATATAAACACTATGAGTTCCTTCTACCTTCATATCATCATTAGATGTTTCGAGTGATGAAGGAAAAGTATTACTCAGTACTTTCTGTCTCCAATAGGCTTTAGCCCGTGTTATGTCCAACGGCTTTACATATCATAATCGAACAGTCTACAGCAAACAAATGGGTTCACATGTATATCTAGGGCCACATTAAAAAATTTCTCATAATGACCCAGACTGACGGTAGTTAGTCCATCTATGCATTCGATGCTGATATCTAGAAGACAGAAGAAGGATTCATAGTGTCTACACCTATTCCGATAACTCCATTGCTAACCTAAGCACAAAAAACTCTGGAATTGGCTTCCACATTTGAACATCCTAAAAATGTAATGAAGTAAACAGATTATAAATATGATCCAACCATATACTCTTTGATTAGAAGAATTAAGCAAATCGAATACTAAACAAAAATCATAATTTTATCAGCTAACCCTGATAATATCAGTATAATCGTCTTTGGTTCACATTAAACTATCAAATTGATTATAGGAATATAAATATTCCAACAAGTTAACAACCTTGTCCAGCAACCAATGTCATTACCGATAATTAAAAAAAATCAGGGAAAAACACGACATTTTCTTCAGAGTGAAAAATAGGCAAGAACACCAAGCAATGCAGTAACTGAACCTCCAACGCCAATTACAAAAGCTATAGACAAACCTACAAAAACCCATTTCGTAATTAGCCCCGAATTGCCAAAATTTATAAAATCGTCAACATTAGGCCACCTCCAGTGCTGCACCAAAATTTGCACCTAACTAAAATTCATCTCCAACCATTA